ATACACTTAGAAGAAGCAATTTTTAAAAGCTTGGCCAAACATTAATTCCTGCTTTAAAGTGCTTTTCGAATTAATTAGCAAAACACAAACTGCTTCTCACCAAAAGTACTTTTAAGAAATAGCGCTTCTCAAAATAAGCTAATTTTTGCTGCTTGGCCAAACGAGCTATTAATACGGACAAAAAATTGATTAACCGGCAGATAATATAGATCCATATTATCCATGGTTTCTTCAATATGATCACTTTTGGCAGAATTCCTAGTCTCATAAATTTGAGGAACTCCAATTTGAGTTTTCACAAATGTAAAAGTTAAACTCATTGGTTATCCATTAGTTAAGTGGATAATATTGATCTTATCCATATTTTATTCATATTTAAAAATTTATTATCCAACCCATTTTTTAATTAATAATATGGATGTATAACTGTTTTTTTAATCCATTTTGCCACCACTAGTCAAAGTATAGATGATAAAGTCCAAATCTTGCTTTTCGAGCTAACACAAAATCTTACCATAGCTCACCATTCTTAACACAACAAAGAGAAAAGTTACAAGGGAGGTGCAACAATTTTGTACTCCCTCCGGTCCAAAATAAGTGATTTTTTAGCTTTTTCACAACGATTCAGAAATTCATCTTATAACATTAATTAGCAATGAAATTGACCATATTAACCTTTACTTTCTCTTCACATAAATACTCTTAACACATACTCCAACACTATTTACTCCAAGGGCATTGTAGGAAAAAAATAATTAATTCATTCTTGAAATCTGGAAAAATCACTTATTTTGGACCATAAAGAAAAGGCCAAAAAATCACTTATTTTGGACCGGAGGGAGTATATAACCATTGTTTAAAGGATGGTCACAGCTAGGGGTGGCAAAATGGTTAAAAGAAAACAGTTAACCACCCATATTATCCACTAAAAAATGGGTTGGGATAATGAATTTTTTAAAAACGGGTCAAATATGGATAAGAACCATATTATCTATTTAGAAAATGGATAACCAATGAGTAACCAATGGATAACCAATGTGTCTAACTTTTACATTTGTAAAGCCTCAAATTGGGGGTTCCTCAAGGTAGGGAGACTAAGAATTCTCTCAAAAGTGATTATATACAAGAAGTCATGAATAATATGGGTTACCCATATTATCCGCCGGTTAACCCGTTTTTTATCCGTATTAAATATGGGTCGGGTCGGATAATTGATCCGTTTTTTCATTACCCGTTTTCGATCCGAACCATATCCGACCCGACCCGCCCGTTTGCCTCTCCTAGTCACAGCCTAATGACGTCAAACTTGTACCCAAACGTACAGGCCTAGCGGTCAATAAAGTGGGTCAAAACCGTGGGGGACCAGGATTCAAATACCAATAGAGAGGAAAGAAACGTTAGACAATAGGCGGACCTACATGGGGACTAGAGGGGTCACCGGAACCCGTTAGCCTGGACAAAAATCGTGTATATATAATATGTATATACAACAAGGACCCTTAAATATTTTTAATGTGCCCCCCAAACTCAAAAGAAGAACTGCGCAGCTGGTTTAGCATTCTGCTTGTCTTCCCTCAGTTGCTATATCACCTGGGTTCGAGCCCCAACACTAGCGGTCTTTTCATTTTATTTTTTCTCTCTATGAATTTAAGGTAGAATAGAATTATGTATTTAGTGCTCATCTTTTTTTTTCTCTCTTTATCTTTTCTAAGTTCATGAACAACATAGTAGTCAACTTCAACACAAATAGTCTGAATCTCCTAATTTTGAGAAACATCCTTCTTCTAGATATCGAGCCCCAACACTAGCGGTCTTTTCATTTTATTTTTTCTCTCTATGAATTTAAGGTAGAATAGAATTATGTATTTAGTGCTCATCTTGTTTTCTTTTTCTCTTTATTTTTTTTAAGTTCATGAACAACATAGTAGTCAACTTCAACACAAATAGTCTGAATCTCCTAATTTTGAGAAACATCCTTCTTGTAGATATTGAAAAGGTAATAGAGAGAAACATAAAAAGATTAAAGGAAATTGCAAGGGGATAAGATATTCCATTAGCAAGAAGCCAATCACCTTCTTTATCGTGATAATTAAGTTTATAAGCTTTACCATTTTCTTGACCTGTATAAAAATAAGTCATTCAATAAAATTTTTCCCAAAAACAGTAATAAAAAACTCCAAAAATCCTTATGCGATATCCGTCAATTCAACGGCATGACTGAGACTCTACTTGGACAGCTTAACAGACCTTTAATCTTGTTGTTATTAGACTTAAGTTTATGATATTTTTGAACATCCTTTCGGTCACTGATTCAAAATCATTGAGTTTACGAGGAGTTAGCACGCACTGCTGCGCTCAAATCCTGGGTCCGCCTCTGAGAGTTACCCAATGCCGATGCTGGTAGGAGGTAGCAAGCTTGTATCTGGCGGAATTCAAGGTGTACGCAAGCTGGTGTAAACGCTACCATCATAAAAATTGAAGTCAAACTCGTATTCAATCATAGCATGATAAAAATACACTATGCTAAATAATGTCTTGAAATGTTTGAATATGTGGACCACAGATTAAAGAAAGTCAATTGTTCAAAGTTTTGTAAAGTACCAAACAGTCCATTTAAGCACTTAAACTTATTAAGAGAAAGATATGATGTTCAAAATAATGTTTGCTGAATGACCATGCTATTCGACAGAACCAGAAAACTGTTCATTCAGTAATTTGGTTTTATGAGTCCCAGCATATATTCTGAGTTCTGAGACAAAAGACTCAACGTTTCTATGCGTCAATGAACTCCAGAACAATTACTTAACAAGTGCACATTTGACATAGCCAAGCTGCTTTACTAAAGGCTTACGTCTCGTTTCTCAGAAAGACAAAAAAGACACTGTTTCTCGGTGTGCGTATGTGAAAGAGAGAGGAAGAGCAGGATCTAGAGAGTAAGGCAATTGGCTAGATCTCATTCTGACCAAAGGACAAGGAGATACTCTTCACTCTTAGGCCATTTAACATTGCAGATCAAGTAGAAGGCACTCAACCACCTAGCTCTGTTGGGTAGAAACGGAGATAAAACTGGATTCCTAATAGAACAACTCAACATGAAAGGTCAATTACACAAAATATATTCTAAAGTATAATAATCATTAGTGTTGTCAAAGGCGAAAACAGTTAAAACGCGTAAAAATTGCATGGAGCGCCCTATTTGGCCGCCCTCTTTTAACTTATACCCGTTTTGTTTTTACGTTTGCATCTGTACCCATTTTTTTGTTAAAAGCGTTTTAAAAAGACGATTTTGCCCTTCAGGACTATTGACAAAACTGTAGACTGCAGGACAAAACTTCAGCATGTTTTGGCATGAAGTTTTAGCAAATGAACTAAATAACTTAAGCATGTTTAGTCTGAAGTTTTAGCAAATGAACAAAATAACTTAAGCATGTTTAGTCTGAAGTTCTAGCAAATGAACTAAATAATTTAAGCATGTTTAATCTGAAATTTTAGCAAATGAACTCAATAACTTAAGCATAATGAACTAAATAGCTTAAGCATGTTTAGTCTGAAGTTTTAGCAAATGAACTAAATAACTTCAGCATGCATTAGGAAAAGCTCATTAGAAAATTACATACTGCAAGAAAAAAACTCAAGCATGCTTAGTCTGAAATTTTCGCAAATGAATTAAATAACTTTAGCATGTTTAAACTCAAGTTTTAGCAAATGAATTAAATAACTTTAGCATGTTTAAACTCAAGTTTTAGCAAATGAATTAAATAACTTCAGCATGCATTAGCAAAAATTCATTAGAAAATTACATACTCAAGACAAAAACTTAAGCATGTTTAGTCTGAAGTTTTCGCAAATGAACTAAATAACTTCAGCATGTTTAAACTGAAATTTTAGCAAATGAACTAAATAACTTCAGCACTCATGACAAAACTGTAGACTGCAGGATAATAACTTCAGCATGCATCAACATGAAGTTTTAGCTTCAATGTAAAACAACTTCATGCTATATTAGCATGAAGTTATAGCTTCAACATGAAACAACTTCATGCTACATTAGCATGACGTTTCTGGTTTTTTGATAAAGCTGTTGAGAGGAGAGGAGGAGATCTTTTTTCATGAATGAGGTTGCAGATCACGCGATTTATCAGGGGTGTAAGCGTCATATTATTACGGATTTTTTTGTCAACTGGCTACCAAATAAATAATTTTTAAAAATAGGGTACTGGTTAAAAGGTGACATAAATATAGGGTACGGATGCAAATCCCCCTTAAAATGCGCTCCAAGTCTATAGGGGCTTTAAGCAAAAAGCGCAATCAAAGTGTGGGCTTTAGTTAAGAAAGGCCCAACAAAGGAAAAAATAAAAATATATATCTAATGCAAGAAATAACTAACTATTTCATTCATAATGATCTTCTTAACAAATAATATATTCTTATGCCAATCATATTTATAGTTTGTACTGCTCTATTCAAAATAGAACTTATGGTCAATGAGGGGTATGCCTTAGTGCCTTGCCTACACTTAAGCGCAGCCTAAGTGAAGCGAAGCGCATACCCTGATCTTTTTTGAGGTTCAAGGCTTTAAGCGCGCCTTTTATTACACTTATAATCATAACAAATCATCAATCAAATTCCAAGGCTGAACGGCTAAAAGATCAGACAGATTTGCATTGAGCAATATTCTGAGGAATCATAACTGCAATTTGAAAGAAATAAATAGATGAAAGTCTAAAATATTCCGCACATCTGATACTAAAGTTCAAGAAAACCGGAATCATCCGAAAAGGGGTAGCTAAAATGATGCAGTCAAAGATACAGTTGTGTAGATAGAGAGTAGAACAAAGATGCCCAACTGTTCACACACATTCAATTAACAAATCATCATAACAATAAACATCAAACAAGCATACGAAGGAAATTCATTCTAGATGAATGAAAACATAGAAAAGAAACAAAATTCCAATTTTCATCAATAATAATATTAGTGAAATCTATCCAAGACAATATTGATCAAAACTGCTTGTTGCAGATTATTACTATGACATTTCATTCCACCACCACAGCCAGTGGACTAACATACAAGAGATATAAGTCCTATCAACGAAGCTTAAATCCATTTGTAGAAAAAAAATGAGCTTAATCTTAGTTAAAATTCTCATTTCCTTCAATGCATTTTAGTAGTTGATATCTTCTCATACATAAGTTAAGAAAAAGGTGAACTAAGATCTGGCCTCTGATTGCTGCCACTCCAGCCTTCTAGAAGAAAAGAAGGAAAAAGAATCTAAGTTGTCAATTGATTGGGTGATTAACTTTCATCATAGTTATATGAAAAGATCAAGCGGTGTGGTAGACTTCCTACTTTCCGTCTTTAGACATGACCTGTTGGAACGTGAAAATCTCCAACTTAAGGAAACAACATTTGGAATTTTGACGCATTATAGCACACTAGCCCATCTCCTCCGTTGACGGTGGGTTATAGGTCTCCTGTGAAAGAGAAGAGATTCAATTTGAGATCCAGATCACTCGCTCAAGAAAAGAATTGCAGTAAATATATATCTGCATGCATTTGCTCAAGGATGTAAAATGTGTATGTATATTGTGAATTCAAACTCCACAAACTGAGAAGAGAAATTACCAAACAGAACCATTTTTTTAAGGCATATCCATATCCACACGGTTGAAGAAAATAGATAAAATAGTAAAATTACGTAAACACATCTAAACAAAATAACATCCACCAATAACCAAAGACAACCATCATCCAGCTCTTGTGACTGTTTGCTTAGTCATGTTGGTAAGCTTACTTTAGGTCCAATCTTCGTTAGGAGCCCTTAAATCTTGTAAGAAATTTGTATGCCAATAGAAGATGTAGAGAATTTCTAGCGTTAGAGAACCTGATAAATTGAATATCGGTTGAGACGGGTCTAAAAAGAACGACACTGATTGTGAAGATATATAAAACTGACACTGATTGTGAAGGTTCATATAGATGACACTGATTCATATAGCCGAAAATGATGTAGTAGTAACTGTTGTTTCTTTTTCCTTTTCCTTTTTTTCTTTTTGGATGGGGGGAGTTGCTGAGAGGAGCTTGGCCATGACTCTATAACACTATATATATGTATGATATACAGCTTTTATTTTTATACAATATGATCATTAGCTACTGTCCATCTAATTTCTATTCTCCTCTTCAATTTCTTACTTTTTCAACAAGTTAAGGGTTTCACTTTTCAGGCATCGATTTGTCATGCCGTATCTGATAGTAATCAAGGCTCAAGAGAAATGATATTTCATATTGAGTGAATAATGAAATCTAATATCGTAGACAATGCATTTCACCGAATTGTAACAGTTTCATTAATAGGATTTGTCACATACTAGCGGATAGTAATCAAGAAAATTTGACACTTCACTTTGAGTGTAAAATGAAATGAATTCCTAGAGGATGCATCTAATGTCAATTGTAAATTTGAATCGTCAGTATCATAGCAATAGCAAGTAAGCTAAGCAAATTTCAAAAGGTTAATCCAGTGAAAAGGTGATCATGAAGGAGGCTAGGCTATCTACTAATTTTTCCTTCTTCTTTTTAGAATCAATTGAAGTGGAGTCGCAGAATCATAAGGAAATTTTACCAGGAAACAATCTGAACCAGTTCATTAAGAAGAATCGATATAAATAAAGAGAAGCAAAGTCTTCAAGTTCAATTGAATACCTTTTCTACCTTGCCTCTGCTATTGATGATTGAGCCCAATATTCCAAATTATCATATGTTTCTCATCTACTCAAATTCAAACTGCACATCTACATGAATATATCTCCTCATCAGCTGAACAATAGATGAGGTAAAGCTGGCCAACATTTGGCACTCTTCATGTGTTTTAGTCTCTGAAATCACTCCATGAATAACTAATTTACTGAGATTAGGGCATCTTTGCAGTAGACCAGCAACCCAATGAGTAAAGACGTCATTAATTACCGTCGATCCCAGCTCCAACACATTGACATTCTCTAATAGAGATAACCCTTGTAAACCATAGTGGAGAATTCCCTCCCTTAAGTCATCTCTTAAATCATAAGCAAGTGCAAGATGATTTAATTGTGGGAAGCAAAGTGCAATTGTTTCCACGTCCACAATCTCGTCCTCTTCATCAAATACAACATCCCATAACCGGAGACTTCTCAATGTGGATGATTTCGAAATCATCTGATAGAACTTGGACCAATTTATCGTGAAATTACTAACATCTACAGTTTCAAGATTATCAACAGCATCACCAACATCAAGATGTATAATACTAACATCATCAATCTTGAAATACTTCAAAGTTCCTTTTCCAATGAGCTCAAAAAGCTCAAGCGCACAGTCTTTTAAGTGCAGATTCTCAAGGCTATCAGTTTCCAATATAAACTTGTCCAAACTTATTGCTTCAACGTAGATACTCTTTAGTGTACTGGTGTTCAGCTCAACAGTTACCTGTGCATCTGACATTGCAATCTCTGGATTCACAAGTGCTAAAGTTTCAATCTTCGGACAAGCTGTCAGTAATAAATTCAGATCCAATGCCGAAATACTGACATAACTTAATGAAAGGGATTTTAGGCAAAGGAACTTCTGATAATTTGGTTCAACCCCTGATACAGAATTATGAGCAAGCACCAACATTTCCAGCTTCTGTCGCCCGCATATATCAAGAATATCGATCTTTGGAGTAGTACGAACGTTGTAAAACAACCATTGCAATGATTCTCTTGTATACATGAGCCAAGCAACCACAATGGAAGCTGAGAACTCATCCACATCATCCATCAATATGGATAAACATTGTAAGCCTGATGTTTGAAACAATGTTTGAGTAATCAGTATCTCTAACCTACTAGTACTTAGGTCTCGATAGAGTGGCCAATCATGAGAATTGAACGAAAGAGTATGGAGGTGTTTACGACAAGCTTCCCGCCACTTTCTACACGTTGCAGATGCTACAATCACATCCCTCGCTGCCCCTAGTTGGGAGAGGATATTCCCAATGACCTCAACAGGAAGGTAATCCATATCACTGAACACAAGTATTAAAAATCATTATGGATATTCTCACAAGAAACTTAAAATTGAACCAAATAAAAGGCCAAGATTTTGCATCCTCTCAAGCCATTACTATTAACCTAGTAACCCCACAATGGGGCATTATCACATTATTCAAGATGTGATTTTTTTCCAATAATTGCATGAAATTTAAAATTTAACCATCAAATATAAAACTAAATAAACTAAATGCCATAGATTCACCAAATGTACAGACATAGCCAAAGCAAAATGCATAAAATGGGGACCACTGGAACACAAGAAATTCACAATTTCCTAAAATGTGTAATTTGTAACAGAAACAAAGACCAACCCAAGAACAATAGCAATTTTCTGATTGTAATCTTGAAAAGATTACATTTTGTTACATACCCAATTGAGAAAACTGCCAAAAAAATTGAATGATTGATGCCATCCCACAGGTTCACCAAAAAATGAGAAGCAGAAATTTTGAGGTATCATCATTGTGCCCATGTGGATGTAGTATGAGAAGCAAAGGGGAAAGACAATTGGTTGAATGGGTCAGATGAAGAGTGAATCAAGGAAATGGTACTGCTGAGAATTGGAGATCCGCCAACTACGATAGGGAGATAATGAGAGATAAGGGGAAAAGGGGGGGATGAGCTGGGGAGGGAAAAAGAAAAAAACTGATTAAGTTTGTTTTTTCCCTTCTTCGCCAAATTAAGTGGGCATTTGGACATAAAAATTATGAAATTTCTGAAAAAAATAAAAATAATTCAAGTAAAAATGGTATTTGAAAATTATAGTTGTGTTTGGAAATGAATATAATTTGGAGCTATTTTAGAATTTTAGTGAGTGATTTAAAGTGAAAATTTTGAAAAATATCGTTTTGGACTTTTCTAAATTTTGGAACTTCAACTTCAAGTTAAAGTTTTCATTTCCAAATAATGATTCCGAAAAAATAAAAAAATTATATGGCCAAACGGGCCTAAGGCTTCATTTATTTGCACTTATTGGAGGTCTGGATCTTAATCATTCAGATCTCAGGCATTAAGTGCGTTTGTTTTTAAAATCTGAATCTTAATTATTCAGATCTTAATCATTAAGTGTATTTATTTTTTTTACTTCACAACCACTTAATGGGTCTGGATAGGTCTGTATGATCAAGATCTATAACAGAGACTTAATTTCCTTAAGATGCTATCACATATTCATTATTAACTGCCGCCACCGCCTACCATTATCAACTACCACCATGCCACCACCACCACCATGCTCAACCGCCACCACCTCCACCACCACTACGCCACCATCATCCTCAATCATAGCCGCCACCATTATCGACCATCACCACCCATTATCCCCATCACTCCGACCACCATTATTCTCACCCACAATCAACACTCATCCACGTCATCTACCACAACTGACCAGCCCATCACTATCAACAGCCACAGCCGGCACTGCCCATCATTATAACCTACCACCACCCATCCACCACCTTCCTCGGTCACAACTACTACCACCACCCGCCATTATTAACTATAAACACCCACCACCACCATCCTCAATCATAATCGCCACCACTACCAATCACGCTATCTACTAGCATGAACCACCATCATCAACCAAAACTAGCACCAACCAACGCCTCTAGTCGGCATTCACCCGTTAGCCATCACCACCAACAACTATCATATTTTAAAAAACTATATATTTTAATGATAGAATATTAGATTAGTTAGTATTTCATTTGAATTTTATGTTTATTAACTTTCAGATAAAGATAAATTTTATACATTCAGATGTTAAAAATCAAACAGTCTTAATTATTTCTATTCGGATCTTAATACACATCTTAATATATTCAGATGTGTATTCAGATTCAGATGTCTTAATCTTAATATACATCTTGATATTCATATGTGTATTCAGATTCAGACGTCTTAATCTTAAAAAAAAACAAATGAGGCCTAAGTTTGTTTGAAAGCGTAGGAAAATAGAGCAGAAAGTTAGAAAATGTTTTTTTTCTTCTCTTTCTTTAATAAGTATCATGAGAAAATTATTTACATTCCTCAAGTTTGCTTTAAAATCCAAATTCATCCTCCAACTTTGAACAATTATGATTCTGCTCCTCATATCAAAGGTGACTTCTCAAAATGCCTATTTTACCCTTTACAATTTTTATCTCTTATTTTTATTCTTTAATATAATAATATTTTCATTTTAATTTATGTTATCGACTTACCTATAGACAAATTAAAGAAACTTTTATGAAATCAAAAAAAAAAGTGACAAATAGTAGTAAAGCATATAAGTTAACAACGTTCAATAGTGAAATAAATAAGAAAATAAAAAGAATAAATAATTTACTCATATCAGTAATTTATTCATACCAATCAAAACCCAATCTATTTACAAAACTGAGAATAAAGAGAGTGAAAATTTATAATTATACAATGGCGGTAATAAAAACTAATGGGTGAAAAGTAGATGTAAATTTTATAATAAATTTGTAAAAATTATCTATTTACACTTTACATGAACTTCAATTATCATGTACAAAAATCTACTAATAACAATCAAAACTCAAAAATTTATATACACATGAAGAATAATAAAAATAGTAAAACTTAAACTGTCACAAACAAACACACAGACACATATTATATACATCTTAATATACATAATATTAAAATAATAATGATAATAAAGTAGCAATACATTTTGTAATATATATTCATAATATGATTATTTTATCTACAATGTTAGTGAACGTAGATTAAATTATATAATAAGATATAATATTATCTAAACTATGAATAAATACCTGCATTAAAAAATATCTAAATAATATAAAAAAGTATTACATATATGGGGACTTGAACATGTCAAGGGTAAAATAAATATTGCGTAGAATAAAAGGATGACAATGACAATTGTTCAAAGTTGAAGGATAAATTTGATTATTAGAGTAAACTTGGGGATGAAAATTTTCACTCATAAGTATCCCATTTTATATGGAAATTTTTCCATTTTTTATTTTTTAGTCCTCACAAAATAGAAACATGTATTAGTGATGAGCTTCATATATATTCCTCTCTATTATGTTTGCAACTGCTTTGATTTGTTTATCCACAGCACGAATAAATAAATCGTGCGGGTCCCTACTTCTGCAATGAAATAAATTAATGACTTTTTTCGCAACATGGCAATTAATAGAGACGTTTCGGCATATATACATACACTAGGTAGTGATAATCCGTGCCAGCACGGGCCCAATAATTTAGAAGCTGAAACTTTTATTTTTGATCAACTTTGTTTTGCAAAAATTGAAGCATTTAGGTAACTATCTGTCACGCCCCGAACCTGGGGGCGAGACCGGCACCCGGTGCCTCATCTATCCTTGCGTACCAACTTACGACTAAGGGATTCTGAACATATAATGTCACACATTGGCCGTGGGCCACATTGCCAGACAATTGCAAATATTGACTAAACATCAATATAATGCTGGACCGACAAGGCCGTCATAACTACTACAACTGGCAAACCAACAAAATATACATAAAAGGCCTATAAACCCAACATACTACACTAATAGCCCGTTTGGCCAAGCTGCAAAAATCAGCTTGTTTTGAGAAGTGCTTTTTTTCAAAAGTGCTTTTCTCAAAAGTGCTTTTGGTGAGAAGCAGCTTGTGTTTGGCTAATTAGTTTGAAAAACACTTCTGAGCAGCAATTAGTGTTTGGCCAAGCTTTAAAAAACTGCTTCTAAGTGTATTTTTCTCAAAAGCGCTTCTCAAAAAAATGCTTTTGGAGAGAAGCTACTTTTTTCTGCTTCTCCAAAACTGCTTCTGCTTCTCCTCAAAAGCACTTTTTTTCCTTCCAAAAGCTTGGCCAAACACCTCAATTTTTGGCCAAAAGTGCTTTTGACCAAAAAAAAAAGCACTTTTGGCCAAAAAGAAGCTTGGCCAAACAGGCTATAACTGACAGGATATATCTACAAGCCTCTACTGATGGATATACTGTGATCGGAACAGGGCCACAGTCTACTCATAACATATATATACAAGATATACATAAAGCTCTAGACCCGGCAACTCTGAAGGGTATGGAGATTACCTAATGAGGAGGTCTACCTGTCTGTCTGTCTGAACCTGCACGCATGAAATGCAGCGCCCCCAGAAAAGGGACGTCAGTACGAAATAATGTACCGAGTATGTAAGGCAATATACTGAAAACTGAACCTGAACTGATAATATAATAATTGAAAACAACTGAGAGTCAAAGAAAATCTGAAGATATGTTTACCTGCTGATACTGACTCAACTCTCTCAATATAGTAAGTAAAATAGTTGTCCGGCCCTATAAGGCTCGGTATATATATATCTGCTCTGCCGTAGTAGGCTCGCTCATAGGCGCTCGATCATACTAGGCTCTGTATCTCGACCAACTGGGCTCTCTCATATGCGCTCGGCCACAGTAGGCTCGGTATATAACTTACCATCTGATCAGAGGTTGCCCAATAGGGGCCTGCCCATCGATTATAGCTCGATGGTAATGAAAATACTTTTAATACTGCATATATAAACTCTCTGCTTTCTTGACTAAAGTAAGAAAATACTTAATTGAATATGAAGTCCCGGTAAAGAGAATATTGTAACTTACAAACTAGGAAAATATACGTAACTTTCGGAATATGAATTTTTCCTTATGCCTCGTTATCAAACTCGTGTAATTACGAGATCATGCGAAATGAAAGAAGGGCTTAGCCTTAACATATCTATTTCTTGAATTATTTGAACGAATCTGCTTCTGCGAAATTCTTGAACGGAATTTATACTTTGGATTTGAAATTGGGAACGAAATTCTTGACAGGATGAGATGTAATTGGAACGAAATTCTTAGCTTTGTTCCAACGTTTTTGTTGATTTGGTTGAAGCTTCTGTTTCTAGCTTTCACCTTTAAAATTTAAGACTTGGTTGAAGTGTCATGGATAAGATTCTTTAAACTTTAAGACTTCTGGATTTGGTTGAAGTGTTGGGATGAATAATGTTTCAGCTTCTAACGTCACAGAATGTTCCTCTATTGAATTGCTTACTTTCATCTCCTAAGGAAATGATCACAAGTCTTATTTTGCTAAGACTTAAATGTAAGTCATGTCCTAGTCATTTTCATAATTTAGCCATCTGGCAGAAGTGCTTATTTAGTCATTCCAATTTTGTGGCTTCTTGCCACGTGGGGTGGGGTGGAGTATTAATTTTATCCACTTATTAGTTAACTGGGTAATATCCTGTTACCCGATAATTAACCAATTACCCGCATAATTTAAAAATTAGCACAAATTACTTAAAATTTATTTATTTTTAAAATACTTCATATATACTTTATATATTATACTACCGTAGTCATATGGTACCTTGCATGGTACTAGTTCATAATTATTGGGTATTATCGCTTGACCCGTATTTTATTCCAAATTGACCACTTTCAACGAACTCGTTTTCTTTAATCCGTGTACCCCTTTATCCTTCATAACACTTATTTATCGCTTGTGAAATAGCATAATCCTTATAATCTCCAAATAATATTTTACTTGGACTGATGCAAATTACCTTACGACAAATTTAACGTACAATACTTCAGGGTGCAACATCGTCCCGTAACTTAATACTACAAAGCGTGACATCACC